AGAGAGTGGGCACCTCCCAGAACATTGTTTTGTGCCACTCCCAACAGAATTACTCCAGGTGGACAACTTCAGCAATCAGGAGCTCCTCAGTTGCTCATAGAAAATCCCACCTTGGAGTTTACAAAGACTTATGGGTAGAAAAGCCACACTAGGTAATTTACTACACCACATCTTGCAATAATGGTAGTAACAAAAATTGCTTTACAAGTGGATATATAGGTAGATATGAAAGCTGAACAGGTGTGAGATGGTGGATGAGAGTATGTTCACACCCATGAGCATATATAGGGGAGCTCTAGTGTTGTAATGCCTAAGGCATTTGACTGCTAACCAGAAGGCTGGTAATTCAAACCCACCAGCCACTCCTCAGAACAAAGATTGGGCAACCTACTTCCATAGAGATACTGCCTCAGAAATTCAAGGAGTGATCTCTATAAGTCAAATCAACTCAATAGCAGTGAGTCTGATTTTTGTTTGGTAGTGGATATTTCTACATATGTATTTGTGTGTGCTGCAAAGATATCCAGGTATATACTAGAACCTATAGGGGCAAAGTTGTGCCCTTCATAGCTATAATAATATACCTTGAGGCACTGAGTCATTGGGCTTTAGGGCTTAGGACCATAGTCTCAGGGAACATCTATGTCAATTGAGATAGCTTAGTCCATAAAGACAATGTTCTACATCCTACTTTGGTGAGTAGTGACTGTGGTCTTAAAAGCTTGCAAGCACCGGTCTAAGACATAGCTATTGGTCTCTTCCTGACCAGAGCAAAGAAGAGTGAAGAAAATCAAAGACTCAATGAATTAGTCCACAGGACTAATGTACCACACAAATTATAGCCTCCACTAGCCTGAGACCAGAAGAACTAGATGGTGCCCACCAACTACTACCCATCAGTGTGATTAGGATCACAATAGAAGGTCTTGGACAGAGTGGGAGAAAATTATAGAGCAAAACAGAAAATTATAAAAAAAAAAAAAAAAAGACAGGCTTATAGAGACTGGTGGAACCTGAGACTGTGGCCTTAGGCACCATTTAAACTTGGAACTAAACCCACTCCTGGAGATCTCCTTTCAGCTAAATAATAGAAACACTATACAGTGAACAGTAACACTTGTGAGAAAAGCGATCCTGAGAACAGTCAGCCACAGGAGACCAAAAAGCCAAAAGGCAGGAAAGATGGGTGAATGGAACCCAGGAAGGAAGTGGGAAGAATGCTGTTACATTGAGGGAATTATAACTAATATCATGAAACAAAATTTGTATAAATTGTTGAATGGTGTAGTAGTTAAGGTTATGTGTCAGCTTGGCCTGGTTTTGAGTTGCTGGGCAGCTGGTAGTAGTTATTCTCTATGATGAGACTGGCAATCAACTCCATGGTGGAATCTGCCGCCAGCCGCTGAGTGGCTGCTTTAGGGATATGGTCTGCTTCCAGTATGTAAGGAGAAGCTTTGGGAATGGTCTGAAACTTTTGGCATGCTTGAATCCTGCATGTAGCTGAGTGATTATGAAGCAGCCTGCCATGTGGTTGGGTAGTATCAGGACTGTGCCTTTTTCCTTTTCAACCTTGGGTTTGTGAGTCTCAGCAGCCAGCAGCTGCCTGAATGAAGAAAGCCTCCAGCTGCAGTGGACCAGGAGCAAGAGGCAGAGTGGAAGCCCAAGGTCAAGAGCTTTCACCCAGCCTCTAAAGCCTGGCACTTTGAACTCAGACTTCTAGCCTCCAAAACAGTAAGAAAATAAATTCCCGTTTGTTCAAGCCTTCCATTTGTTGTATTTCTGTTGGAGCAGAACTAGGTAACCAAAACAAATGGGAAACTAATTTGCTCTGTAAACTTTTATCCAAACAACAAAAAAAGTGAAAAAAAAAAAAAAAGAAAAAGTAGGATTGGGGTAAGAATTAAGTAAAAATAATGTGTAAAAGCACTTGTTGTTGTTGTTATGTGCTGTCGAGTCAAACCCGACTCATAGCGACCCCTCCTTGGGTTTCCGAGGCAGTATCACTACAGAAGTAGGATTGCCCAACCTTCCTTCCGAGGAGTGGCTGGTGGGTTTGAACCGCCAGCCGTCTGGTTAGCAGGCAAGTGTCTTAGCCACTATGCTACCAGAGCTCCCTCCAATTTCTAGATTGAATATATATATCAGACAAATTTAAGATGCAAAAATATTTCCATGTGATCTAAATTTTAAATATGAAATAGTGTGGTGAAAATTACACCATTACCAGTAAGATATGCCTAGACCACAGTAACTTACATTATTAACATAAAACAACCAGTAACATAATGTCATAGTCAAGAACATGGGCCAGACTCAGTGATATAACAGCTGTGGGATTTGGGGCAGGTCAGTTAAACTATGTCTCCATTTTTTCATGTACAAAAGAGGGATAATAATAGCACCTTATTGATATGGTCGTGCCAAGGACTAATCGAGTTAATATATTTAAGTCCTTCAGTGTTGATAATAGTAAGTACAATACAAGTGTTTAGTGTAATTATTTTATTTTCTATCATATTGCTTAAGGCATTTGACAGCTAACCAGAAGGCTGGCAGTTCAAACCCACCAGCCACTCCTGGGAAGGAAGGTTGGGCAATCTACTCCACTAGAGATCCCTCTTTGCCGTGGAGTTGGATCTGACTTATAGCGACCCTCCTTGGGTTTCCGCGGTGGTATCACTATCGAAGTAGATTTGCCAACCTTCCTTCCGGGGAGTGGATGGTGACTTTAAACCACCAGGCTTCTGGTTACCAGTCAAATGCCTTAGGCACTATGCCAGCAGAGCCCCCACCTCAGAAACCCAAGGAGGGGTGGCTTTGAGTCTAATCAACTCCATGGCAGTGAAAAATCATATCAAATATCTTGCCAAGTAGCTTAAACTGTGACTTTCTTAATCTTTACTTCACCAATGAGTCAATTCATTTACTCTTCACCAGCTAGAAGCCCTTTGCCTCACAATTAAATTTTGTTTGTTTGTTACCCTTTCCCTGTTTCCTTTTTGCCTATGCATTTCTGCCTCCCTGCATGGGAGCTCTGGTAGCATAGTGGCTAAGGCACTTGACTGCTCACCAGATGGCTGGCGGTTCAAACCCATCAGCCACTCCTCAGAAGGAAGGTTGGGCAATCCTACTTCCGTAGTGATACTGCCTCGGAAACCGAAGGAGGGGTCGCTATGAGTCAGGGCTGACTTGACGGCACATAACAACAACAACAACAACATGTCTCTCTGTGGTGGCATAGTGTTTAAGGCATTTGACTGTTAACCAGAAGGCTGGTGGTTCAAATCCACCAGCCACTCCTCAGAAGGAAGATTAGTCAATCTACTTCCATAATGATACTGCCTCGGAAACCCAAGGAGGGGTCGCTATGAGTCAGATCTGACTCCAGGGCAGTGTGGTTTGGGTTTGTTTACCTTTCTTCCTATGCAAATGCTGCCCTTCTGATCTCCCATGACACAATTTACATTTTTTAAAATTTATTTTGTAGACTCAATCTATGACTTGCTGCCATGGTTAGGACAGTAATAATTTAAACCATACCATTTTGTCAACAAGGTGTTGTGGGCAAATAAAACTTCCCTGGATTTTTCAGCGTACCTATAAAATGTCCTAGCTTCCTGAGGCAGAGAAGTGCATATGATATAAAGATAAGGAATATTTTATTTGATTCCCCTGTAAGCATTTTGGGAGCTCTGGTAGCATAGTGCCTAAGGCACTTGAATGCTAACCAGAAGGCTGGCGGTTCAAACCCACCAGCCACTCCTTGGAAGGAAAGTTGGGCAATCTACTTCCGTAGTGATACTGCCTCGGCAACCCAAGGAGGGGTCGCTATGAGTCTGGTCTCACTCGATAGCACATAACAACAAGATAAGCATTTTACTCTTTACATGCTATGAGAATCAATTAGCCATTTGTCTAATTAACTGCTCAGATCAGAGATGGCTCATTGGTTTCAGCCTGGGCTGGGTCCATAGTTTAATTCCTAAGGTGCCAGGAAGACTGGTATGCTATCTTCATAGTTATTTACATTTCAAAAGGAAAAAGCCCAGACCCTGAAGACATCTCTAAATTGAAATAACCATGGGCATCTGTGTTTATATGGTCCCTGAAAAGAAGCACTCACATTACAAAAGATTAAATTGAGAATCTGTGATCATTTTCATCCTGTCTTAAAGAACAAAAATTTGGCTTTTGTTTTGTTGTTTCCTCATCTTTTAGGAAGGGTGAGGTTGACTCTCTCTCTCTCTCCTGTGTATAAATGGAGACAATCCATTGTCTCTATCCCAGCCTTTGATGTGCCTGATCACTCCTCTATAAAAAGTTTTCATTAACTCTTGAGTCGCTCGGTCAAGAAAAATATTATTTACTTTCTACTTAATAAACAGATAAAGACTCAGGCAAAGGACCTGATGCACTTCTTATTTACTCTAAATCAAAAAAAAAAAAAAAAACACCAGCCATCCAGTCAATTCCAACTCATAGTGAGCCCTTTTGGGTTTCCAAGGCAGTAAATCTTTACAGAAGTAGATTGCCCTGTCTTCCATGGAGTGGCTGGTGGATTTGAACCACCAACCTTCTGGTTACCAGTCAAATGCCTTAGGCGCTGTACCATTTAAGGTAGTTATAAAAAGAAGTCAGTTTTTGATCCAGAGTATTTTGTGTGTGCATTAAAAGTAAAAGAACATTTTAAAGAAATAAAAAGTAAAGTAAAGAACATTTTAAAATCTGCAGATATATGTTAAGATGATAGCAATATTTGCTTTTATAGTTCAAATTCTTTGTATGGTATTATTCTCAAGGCGTATATTCTTTTCATTTGTTTCAAGATTCAAGATAAGAGATGTAGAAAAATGGGCTGTAAGTGTAAGTACTTTTCTAGAGGAAAAACAGGAGAGAAAAAGACCCCCCAAAGCTGATAAAGAGGCCTATGTCATGGTTAACAAACTTCAGAAAGTCAAAAAATCCATGGAGAAACAAAGGATAATGTAAGTATTTATCTAAACAAATTTTCCATTACCGGATTAAGATACAAATTCCAGTAAGAAACTTAATGTGGTATACGAGGGTGTTCCATTTATTGCTTGACCTTCTTTCCCAATTGAACAAATTTGAATGGGAGAATGCTATAAATAGAAGTGACCATAATCCTATGTTCCTTAGTTGTGCAGTTCAGATGCATTTAGTACCTGGGAGAGGCAGGGCCATAGCCTACGAATGTAGGTAGATTATGTAATCTGACAATATGTTCAATCCATCCCTGAAAATAAGCATATCTTTGACACATAAACATATCCATACACATCAGTTTTGGATATGATATGATTTACTGCCACAGTCATATAAGTAAGTATAGAATGAGCTCTAGAATGGATTGAACTGTCATTATACTTGATAAAACTTGGTTGTGGACACTCCTCTTCCTTATTTTTAATGTTTAATTCTGTGTCCAAAATATTTATGTTCTATTTTACTCTCCATCTTTAGTCACTCACTAGTTTACAAGCAGAGGTTATATTTTTTGGATTATAGATTCACTACTCTCTAGTCTAGACAACATATGACCTTTCTAACGTTCAAATTAATCCAATGACTTGATATTTTCCCTTCTTCCTAACTGTGCTGATGAAGTCTGAAATCCATCATTATTGTTGTATGCCAACATGTTTTGGTCCCTGCTTTAATCTCTTCAGCCTCACTTCCAACTACTCTTTTATAGCAATGTTCAAATTTATGGCTCTCTTCAGATGCCTTGTTCTTTCTCCTCTATACTTTTCCATGAACTGGCCCATGTGCCTAGAGTGTTTTTCTTCTTGGTTACCCCAAAAGCTTGTATTCATAATTTTTGTAACTCCTCTCTGAATCTTGTTGTGATTCCCCCAGATAAACTTAGTACTCTTGCTACACTTTCAAGATTCAATAGATGAGTTAGCACAATGACTTGCTATTGTTGGTTTATATGTTTTTTTCCCCCTAAATTGTGAAGTCCCCTACAAAGAGACAAAAGGACCTGATGCACTTCTTATTTACTCTAAACTAAAAAAAAAAAAAAAAAAATCCCTTTTAATCTCCTATGCTTAGGATGTTGCCTAGCGGGTAATAGCTGTTCATTGTCTGACAGATAATATTTGATTTATGACTGTTTTGTATAATAAATGGTAGATATTTCCCTAAAAGTTGAAATAACTTTTAGAGAAGAGAATGCTCTAGAATTAACAGTGTGGAGCAAGGAGGACACCTAATCTCAGCCCCATGCCTAATATCTGAGACTGAGAAAGAGAAAATGTTCATCCCTTCAGCAAGCTACAGGGGAAGCAAAGTCCTCTTAAGAGACCTGAATTTTATATACAACAAGAAAGGAAAGGAACGTTGAGAGATACATACTATGAGTATATAAGAGAATTATTTGGTGGCAATTCTAGAGGCTAATGAATAAATGCATTAGAGGAAGAAAGTTGGGTCAGGATAGGTGCAGGATAAGTGTGAATGTTTATGTGATAAAGATGATCTGGCAAGTCCTGGGCTTCCTATGGTAGCTAAATATGAATATTCATTGGTTAAATTTTTATTTTTATAAACAGAGATGGAAAAGGTCAGAAAAATCCCAGAAGGATGGACCAAAGCCTAATACATGAAGCTGAACACAATAATCTACTGAAGAGTCTGGAGAAGAACCTGGGAATCCCTCAGGACTGCACTTATGCTGATGAAAAAGCAGTGGACGCTGAGGTCAGCACTTAGAATGGAACTATTTCCTAGGAAATGATTTCCTCCATCAGCTGCACTGCATATTAAAAGGATTTATAGACTGTTTTTTGTTTGTTAACAGTTTAAGCCTGAGAGTGTCTATCCTTCCCTTATTTCTTTCTATAGCCTGAATTCTAGAATTTAGTCTCATATGCTTCATTTGAGTGTTGGCCATATTTGGGAATGTGTCATCAAATACACTTTTAGTAATATTCAGAGTATTTCTCAAAATCAGAGACAACTATAACATCCAAGTTTTCCACTCAGGACTCGTTGAAATATCTAAAAGGGTTATATCATTTTTTTTTTTTTTAATGTTACCAAAAAAAAAACCAAAAAGACCAAACTCACTGCCATCAAATTGATTCCAATTCATACCAATCCCCTTGGTGGTAAATCTTTATGGAAATCGATTGCCCCATCTTCTTTCCACAGAGCAGCTGGTGGGTTTGAACCACCAGGCTTCTGGTTAGCAGTTAGATGCCTTAGGTACCTTGCCACCAGAACTCCTTACTGTTATGCAAATAATTTGTGCCTGTGGTAGACAAATTTGAAACAACAAATTAGCAGTAATAAAAGCAATGCTGTCACTTAGAGGTAATTATTGTCCTTCTGGATAAAATATTTTCTTCCTTCTTTCTTTTCTTTTCCCCAACTTTTTATTGTGATTTGAGTGGAAGTTTACAGAGCAAATTGGTTTTCCATTCAACAATTCATGCACATTTTGTTGTGTTACACTGATTAAAATCCCCACAATATAATAGCACTGTTCCACTGCCCCCCCTGTGTTTACTATTTTTATTTGTCCTTCTTCCCTATCCATTTCTGTCTTCTGAACTTTATCACTGGGCAAACGCTGCCCTTTTGATTTCAGATGGTTGATTATTCTAAGGAGTGTGTACCTGGCATTACTGTTTACCTTACGGGCCTGTCGGTTGTTTGGCTGAAAGTTGTGCCATGGGAGTGATTTCAGTTCCAGGCCGAAAGGTATTTAAGGGCCATAGTCTCAGGGATTCCACCAGTTTTTCAGACAAATTAGCTGGTCTTTTTATTATTATTATTATTTTGAGGTTTTGGATGAAACATTTTCTTTTTCTACCCATATACCACATACATATACACACACACACACACTTGAATTGTACATACACATACTCATTTCATGTATTTTTAACAAAAATTAAATTATATTGTTTACATTATTTTGTAACCTATTTTAAGGAGTTCTGGTGGTACAGTGGTTAAGGTATAAGACTGCAGACCAAATAATGCCTGTTTGAATGTACTAGCTGTTCTGCAAGAGAATGATGAGGTAGTCTGCTTCCATAGATTTGTAGCCATGGAAACCCTTGTTGTTGTTGTTATGTGCCATTGAGTCAGACCCTATGGGGCAGTTTTACACTGTCCTACAGGGTTGCTATCAGTCAAAATCAACTTGATGGCAGTAGGTTTGATACTTCTTTTTGGTAACCTATTTTGTCTCTTCCACCACTTGTCTGTCAGTTAATTCTACAGTGGTGGCTTGCATGTTGCTGTGAATTCTGGAGGCTATGCCACCATTATTTAAAATACCAGCAGAGTCACCCATAGTGGACAGGTTCCAGTGGAGCTTTCAGACTAAGATATATTGGGAAGAAGGTGAGGGCCATCCACTTTTGGAAAAATTGGCCAGTGAAAACTTTATGAATAGTAGTAAAACACTGTCTGATATATTGCTGGAAAACTTTATGAATAGCAGTGAAGCATTGTCTGATATAGTGCTAGAAGATGAGCCCCTCAAGTTGGAAGACTCTCAAAATTCAACTGAGGAAGAGCTGCCTCCTCAAAGTAGAATCAACCTTAATGGTATGGATGGAGTAAAGCATTCGGGACCTTCATTTGTTAATTTGGCATGACTCAAAATGAGAAAAAAAAGCACAAATATTCATTAATAATTAGAACATGGAATGTACAAAGTATGAATCTACGAAAATTGGAAGTTGTTAAACTACAGTGGAATGGATAAAGATCAAATCCTAGGCATTAGTTAGAAAATCAAAAGAGAAAAACACCCTTGGCATTTCTCAAACTGAAAGAACTGAAGAAAATATTCAAGTCTTGAGTTGCAATGTTGAAAGATTCTATGGGCAAAATTTCAAATAATGCAAGAAGCATCAAAAGAAGATGAATAGAATACACAGAGTCAATGCACAAAAAAGAAATGGTTGATGCTCAACCATTTCAGGAGATGGCATATAATCAAGAACCAGTGGTACTGAAGGAAGAAGTCAAAGCTGCACTGAAGGAATTAGTGAAAAACAAGCCTCCAGGAATTGATGGAATACCCAGTGAGATGGTTCAATAAACAATACTTCGATGGAGGCACTTACTCAACTGGCCAAGTAATTTAGAAGACAGCTATCTATTCATCTGGCCAATTGGCTGCAAGAGTTCCATATTTGTACACATTCCAAAGAAAGTTAATCCAACAGAATGTAGAAATTATTGAACAATATCATTCATATCATCACATGTAAGTAAAATGTTGATGGAAATAATTCATAAACAATTGCAACAGTATATTGTCAGAGAACATCCAGAAATGCAAGCTGGATTCAGAAGAGGACATGGAATGAAGGATATCACTGTTGATGTCAGATGGATCTTGACTGAAAGCAAAGAATATCAGAAAGATGTTTACCAGTATTATATTGACTGTGCAAAGGCATTCAACTCTGTGGATCATAACAAATTATGGATAATATTGGGAAGAATAGAATTCCAGAGCACTTAATTGTGCTCATAAGGAACCTGAATATAGACCAAGAAGCAGTCATTCAAACAGAGCAAGGTGATACTGAATGGTTTTAAATCAGGAAAGATGTGCATAAGGTTGTATCCTTTCACCATACTTATTCAATCTGTATGATAAGCAAATAATCCAAGAAGCTGGACTATATGAAGAAGAACGGGGCATCAGGATTGGAGGACGACTCATTAACAATCTGCAATAAGCAAATGAAAAAACCTTGCTTGTTGAAAGTGAAGATGATTTGAAGCAGTTACTGATGAAGATTAAAGACTATGGTCTGTAGGGTGGCTTATACCTCAGCATAAGGAAAACGAAAATCCTCACAACTGGACCACTAAGGAGCATCACGATAAATGGAGAAAAGATTGAAGTTGTCAAAGATTTCATATTACTTGGATCCCTAATCAAAACCCATGGAAGCAGCAGTCAAAAAATCAGACATGGTATTTCACTGGGCAAATCTGCTGCAAAAGACCTCTTTAAAGTGTTGAAGAGCAAAGATGTCACTTTGAAGACTAAGCTTCACAAAACCCAAGCTTTGGTATTTTCAGTCTCCTCATATACATGTGAAAGCTGGACAATGAATAAGGAAGACCAAAGAAGAGTTTATGCCTTTGAAGTGTGGTGTTGGCGAAGAATACTGAAAATACTATGGACTGCCAGAAGAACAAACGAATCTGTCCTGGAAGAAGTGCAGCTGGAATGCTCCTTGGAAGAGAGAATTTCCAGACTTCATCTCACTTATTTCGGTTATGTTTTCAGAGGGGGCCATTCCCTGGAAAGGGCTATCATGCCTGGTAAGGTAGAGCTTCAGCGAAATAGGCTAAGACCCTAAACAAGATGGACTGACAAGTGGCTGCAACAATTGGCTCAAGCACAATAATGATGTAGGGCTTGTGCAGGAGTGGGAAATGTTTTGTTCTGTTGTTTATAGGATCCCTAGGAGTTGGAGCCAACTCGATGCCACCTAACAACAGCAACAACAACTTCATCCCTTACTAATATGTTCCTTTTTAATAACTATGTATTTCTATCTTCATTTTACTGGCTCTTTAATAGTCTATTTTATAGAAGACAATAATTTAGATAACCAGTGTTTTTCTTGAGATAATAAGGTTTTTGTTTTTGTTTTCCATTTTTCTTCTTTCATAAGTGTTTGCTTTGTGCATATAACTCTATAAATAACTGAATTTCCTCCTTAGAGCATGGATACTTTAAAAACCATTTGTGAGTGATTTGAAGTGAGAAATAATCGTCCCTCACCATATAGGTGTGGGAACTAGCTCTGCCTTCTCGGTAGAGGAAAACTCCAAAGGCTTCAGAAGAAAACTCACATCCCTAGGGAAGCTGCAGATCTTGCATGCTACCTGCCCCAGGCATTTTGTCTACTAGGTTATCAGTGTTTTTTATACTTGCAATGGAATGAAGGCACTCTGTTCAAAGAACTGAGATTTTTCCTACAGTTTCTGTTACTATAAGGCAATATTCTCTTTACATATGTGGAGTCAATTTCAAGCATTTGCCTCATTTAACCAAATTACTAGGTAGTGTGTATGACAGTTTCATTTAAACATTTTAAATTCTGATTTAAATTAAAACCAGCTAAGAAATTATTAAAATCCCAAAACCTCTTACTTCTGTTAGACTTTGCAGACGGTGTTTGATCGAGTAAAATTCCAAAGAAAAGGTCGAGAACTGAAGGCTTTGGCCCAGAGGGGAATTGGATATCATCACAGCTGTTTGAGCGCCAAGGAAAAACAATTAGTTGAAGTTCTATTTAGGAAAGGATTTATAAGGGTAGGTAAATTTTTTCATTGTAAGAATCAAAGTCATGTCAGAATGAAGGTGAATGTCACTGAAAATGAAACAAGAAAATCGTTATTTTTTTCCTCATCTAATTTATATGGTTTTTTTCACAACCCTTGATATGACTGCATACCTGCTGCCATTAATTGAATTGGAGGAGGAGGGTTTGAGGTGTATCATTCCCTTTATAAAATTTTCATGAGAATAAAATATTTCCCTAAAGAATTATTTTTTCTGTTATTTCTTTAATGAAGTACACCACTAGTTATTTAGGCATAATCTTTTGCTTTTTACTTATTTACTATCCAGAGCATTGTGTAGGTTGTTCCAATCATTTTGGCTATGCATGCCCTTTCATGGACTTGGATGACATTTATGATAGTCTTGGTCAGATTTTTTTCTGAGGTACTAGCTAAAATAAAAGCAAAAATGTAACATTTCCTTGGGATCTACTGTATATCTACACAGAGGATTTAGATGTGTTGCTCAGTATATTTTCTACTATCATTGATAATGAACAAGGGGATAGCTTGCAAACCAAACCCTTGTTATCTTTTGTTTAGTGGGTACATTGGGCTTGTATGGATAAATTCTCCACAATTTCCTAGTAAATTTGGAACCTGACTATTTAAAAATAGACTCTGACTCTTCAGATTTTCCATCTTAAATTTTATATGACATACATTGTCTTATGTATGTTTGTGTTTGTGAGAGAGAGAGACAGAGAGAGAAACAGAGAAATCAATAGTCATTTTATCACCCTGTATTTAATCTTAATAGAGGAAACATTGAGGAAAGTCTGACGTAATTAAAGAGTAATTTCTGTTATGTGGCAAAACAAAATGTATCATTAACTACCTAGCTTAGTTTTCTATTAAGAAACAATCAGTTAGTTGTCCTTCTAAAGGTCAATAACCAGAGACAAGTTTTATACAAGATTCTGGGTGGAAGACAAGAGGCACACCTATTTTGATCAGCCTATCCAGTGTCTGAAGTAATACCAATCAAATAATAGTTGCTCAAGTACTATTAATTTAATAAATGAATAACCAGATACTGTAGGAAGAATATTAGGAAAAAATAAAACCCCAAAACAAGCATTTGCTGCTGAGTTGATTTTGAGTCATGGCATCGCTGCGCTGCATGGGATTTTCAAAGGATAAGTTTTTGGAAGTAGATCACCAAGCTTGCCTTCTGAGGTGCCTTTGAGTGGACTCAAGCCTTCAGTCTTTCAGTTACCAGCCAACCATTAACTGTTTGCAACGCCCAGTGTCCCCAGTATGGATATAGCTATAGCTTTGTTCTAGAGAACACAGTCTTAAAAAGATCATTTGTTGTAATTATTTTCTAAATTTAATGTTTTTACTTTTTTTTTCTTCTTATCATGGAAATTCAGAAAAACAGTTAAAAAGTATATGTTGCAACGTGATGGATATAGGTGTAGATATCCAAGAGAATAATTAGAGAAAAATCACTCCATAAATTGAAAACATAAAATTTAATCATCCTCTATATTGATGTGAATATAAAGGGAAAAGGGGGCTAATTAGAAGTTCTCAGCATTATATGACAAAAAAAAAAAAAAGAAGAAGAACGAAATGGTAGATTATCTAAGTAAACTTTAAAATTTCTCATATTCCTTTCCCTTCAGTTAAGATAGAAATTCAGGGGGGGGGGAAAATGAAACATTATTTTGCTCTTTTTACTTAAAAATGTTCTATTCGTAGATATAACCCCTACAGATTATATAGTGCACAAAGGTAGGCAATTGCCCAGTGGTGTGTTTGGAAAAGGGAACTTCTTTTTTAGTCATTTATTAAAAGTGCATTTATTGGCCACCTATCATGTGCCAGGAATCCCTGTGTTTTGCAAATCAATAACATTTTCACTGCTAACTGAAAGGTTGGCAGTTTGAATCCACCCAGAAGCACCGTGGAAGAAAGTTCTGGTGATCTACTCCCAAAAAGTCAGCAATCATTGAAAACTTTACAGAGCACAGCCCTACTCTGACATACAGGAGGTTGCTATGAGCTAGAGTCTACTTGAAGATAATTGGTAATTGTATCATGTGCCTGCCAGGTACTTTCCTTGGCACTGGCAATGCAACAGTGTGTGAAGCTTGGAGTTTCTTGCTGTTGTTGTTGTTATGTGCCATCAAGTCGGACCCAGCTCATAGCATCCCCTCCTTAGGTTTCCGAGGCAGTATCATTATGGAAGTAGATTGCCCAACCTTCCTTCTGAGGAGTGGCTGGTGGGTTTGAACTTCCAGCCTTCTGGTTAGCAGTCAAGTGCCTTAGGCATTACGCTACCAGAGCTCCTTGCAGGACAATTAAGCAAACAAGTAATGCACCTTCAGGTAGTCAATGATACTATGAAGATAAATAATGTAGAGTAGAAGATGAATAATATGGAAAGGGGTAATTATTTTAGATCTGGTGGCCCAGAAATTCCTCTTTGACATTTGAAGAGAGAACTGAAGAGTCAGACAAATGCCTATGTGGAGGGCGCATATTCTGTGTCAGTGAAAGTTTTGCTCTGAGATAGGAAAATGCTTACTATGTTCGTGAAATTGCAAGAATACGAGTGTGGCTATCTTTAACTTTTTTACTGTGATTTGATTGAAATGCAAATTATTTTTTAGAAACTATATGGACAATAACACTTGCATTCTATTGAAATGCTTGTTTTTGAAGCAATTGTTTTATTCTCATTCTAGGTGGTGACAGCTACTGGCACACTTGCTTTAGGAATCAACATGCCTTGTAAATCTGTGATTTTTGCTCAAAACTCCATCTATCTGGATGCTTTAAATTACAGACAGGTATTACAGTATACATACATTATTTTATTTGTGTTACTGAAATACAGTCAGATAATAGTGAAGTAAGTGAATCTTTAATTTGCAGACATGCTACAATTCATATACTTGCACACCTTGGCATTCATCTTTGCCAGGCTATTATTTTCAGATGTGGTAAAATAGAAAACCACCATTCATCTGTCAACTTGCCCTACTTGGGCTTGCCTGTTGCTGTGATGCTTTAAGCTGTGTCACTAGACTTTCAAGTATCATCACGGTCACCTATTATGGAAAGGCTGTAGCAGAGCTTCCAGACTAAAACAGACTAAGAAGGAAGACCTGACAATCTATTTCTGAAAAACTTGGCCAATCAAAACCTTATGAATAACAGCCAAACATTGTCTGACATAGTGCCGGTAGATGATCCTCTAAAGTTGAAAGTCACTCAAAATATGACTAGGGTTGACCACAATAACATAGATGGAATAAAGTTTTCAGAACTTTCCTTTGCTGATATGACACAACTCAAATGAGAATAAACAGCTGCAAACATCCACTAATATTCAGAATGTGGAATGTACACAGTATGAGTCCAGGAAAATTGGAAACTGGTAAAAATGTAATGGAATACATAAACATTGATATCCTTGGCAATAGTGAATGAGCTGAAATGCACCGTTATTGGCCATTTTGAATTAAAAATGGTCTTTTATGCCAGAATGACACATTAAAGAGGAATGGTAAAATATTCATCATCAAGAAGAACATTTCAAGATTTATCCTGAAGTACAATGCTGTTAGTGGTAAGATAATATCAATATGCTTACAAAGAAGACAAGTTAATTTAACTGTAATTCAAAATTGTGTACTAACCACTAATGTCAAAGATAAAGAAATTTAAGATTTTTACAAACTTTGCATTCTGAAATTGACCAAACTTGCAATCAAGATGTATTGCTAACTCATTTTATGAAGCAAGCATAACCTTAATACCAAAACCAGGAAAAGACATCACCCAAAAGGAAAACTACAGGCCAATATCCCTCATGAATATAG